CCCCTCCTTCCACATCCATATCGTACGGCTTTTTTCGTCTTCAGAAATTTCCGGAGAGGATGATATAGCAGCGTAAGTCGTGCAAACATGATTTGCGCTTTGCAACTCGCTACGCGTAACCGATGGACAGGAAAAAGTGATAGTCGGGCCCAATGTATGCGAGATGATTGGATGTAAAGTGGAGAGCTGTAGAACTTTGAATATAGATGTTTTTCGAAGAAAAATTTCACCAACATCTAAAACATGAACACCGTCGCCCTGAGCAGCGACAGTGATATGACCATCTGAACTTCCGCCAGTTCCATGATGGGAAGCAAAAATGCTCGGTAGTCTTCCGGATGTTTTGGATGATTTTGAGGCCTTATTCGTTGTCGTATAGCTCGATAATAGGAAGGGTTCGCCTAGAGAGGCCTCCATGCCGTTGAAGTTCACAGTCAATGTTAATTTAATTTATCGTGGGAAAGTTTCTTCATCGTCACAACTTTCTCGGACTTACATACATCTAATTTCTGAAGAAAAAAAGAATTATTCCGTGGTTCAGTATGGGGCATATCTTTTGCCAGATGCTATCCAAGGCTCGGTATGGCTTTCGTCAGATGATACATGTTTGCTAAAAAACTCATTAACCGCAAGTAAGTAAGACCGTGACAGCAAGTTGGGAATAGTACATTGTTTGCCATGGATTATCTTTGTCCAGGTTCCTATGTGGTAGAGCTGTGAAGCCACCTGTGTCCCTCTCTGGGATCTTCACTCAGCTCGTATCATCTGCTCCCTATGTAGCTCACTATACCCAGTGTATGTGTTGCTTCGGAGAAGACTATCGGTGCATGTTTTCGGCTTACAGTTTGATCACCGCTATTTAATAAATATAACATGGTTTGAAAATTGGTCGCCTGATATCCTCAGGCTCGACTATCGACATCACTCAGATCGGAAAGACCTACGGCGGCGTTGAATTGGATCTCGGACAGGTAAAGGAAAGTTGAAGGAAAGACTTCATGCATCGTCAAAAATTTGAACGAGGTACAAGTTAGGCGCTTCGTCAAAGATGTTGTCACCCCAAACCGGTTAACAGCATTCAACAGCACGTAGATAATGTGAAGCGTTTCGTGGATGCGAGCAGCTGGAAATTAAAGGGCTGCTGTAGTCTAAAGATCGATCATGGCCATTCGGGGAACCCTAGAAAAGTGAGGTAAACGCTACTGTACATTGTATAAATTCGAGCACAAGTTAGTTACTGGTACAACAATGACCCTAACAGCATACACATCTTCGAAAACTAGACAGATTATACCAACCGAAAGAAAGCGAATAGAAGGCTCCAAAAATGATACAAAATTCATCACGTTGCGGTCCCGTCACGGTCCCGCCACTGTCCTGCTTGACTCCTGCGCATGTACCATGGGTATCAGATCCCTCACAATAAACCTTAAAACTTCAGAAACGATGAACGCCTCGGGACTGCCGACCCCTAGGCATCTCGCTCCACTATATTGCGCGCCTTCTGTTTCTTCGTCTTTGGCCTGTCCAATGGGCACTTCAGGTGCTCCTGGTAGCAACGAGCACAGCAGGACTTGTTGTTTAGACGAAAACATTTCGAGTTGACTTTGGAGCAGGACGAACATGAAGGGGCTGTAGAACACAAGAATGACAGATCATCAGATTGTCCATTGCGGTAGGTGTGAGAAGCAAGGAGCGACGATAACTAGACTATCAGGACCTACAGTTGATTTGGCCGGTTCCAATCAGAGTTCCACCATCACGTCTCACGAACTCGTCTTCATCCTCATCATCCTCATCATTATCACGGGCTCTTTTGTTGCGCCGCGCAGGTGACATCGGAGACGGTACTCGGACACCATCAAACTATGTATGAGAGTAAAATAACATTCTGAGATCGGGGATCATGGATCACAAAAAAAACACCCACTTGTGAGGATGTGGCCACCGTCAGCTGAGAAAATTGTGGTCGCCTCGGGGATGTAGCATTGGTTTTTGGGGGCTGGTTATTGATTGGGCTATTGGGAGAATTTTTCACCGTCGAATTAAATCTGGCCTTAGCGCCTTTGGTAGTGGGCAGCGTGGCGCGGGTTGTGTGAGGATGGATGACCACATCAGCGTTAATGGAAGCTTGGCGAGAGGTAGAATCAGAACTCGTGGAAACATGTCCTTCAGAAGCAGTTGCAGAATCCATGGATTTCGCAAGTCCCACATGCTTTCCAGTAGTTCCAGAGCCGCTAGAGACGGGGGCAATTTTCCCAGTGGGATTTCCGTGAGGTTCCCTACTGAGTTGGGTGCGGGGATCAGCTCGATTCTTCGATGAAGGGCCGATCTGAGTTGCTGGTAACACTGGATCATCCCAAATACGGTCGATGTTTCCCACAGGAATCTTTGGACTCTGTAATGGGGTAGGAGCTGTCGAAGGGGGAGAACTAGGACTACTCATGCTCATGTCAGAAAACGACAACGGCGAGTTTCTGAATGAACTGTCCGGTGATTCGGAGGCTATGTCAAAGGTAGGATTGAAGAAGCTGATTGGGGCAGGGTCTTCCTGTAGAGGGGGCTGATTACGAAGAGCTTCCCACTCTTCTTCAGTCGGATAGTCGAAGACGACGACCTCGGTCTTGAGGAATGCCTGAGCTTCTGCGAGAATCGTGCTGATCTCTTCCTCTTCCCTGAGTATCCGAAGACGCTCTTCCTCAGCCTCCCATATCTTCTTGCGCTCTAGTGCTGCACGTTTCCATCGGGAATCGAGCCAGGCCTCGTCCCAAGTCCAATGGGTATGTTTGAGCAAAAAATTATCGGCTGCAAGAAGGGCGTCCTTGACTTCGGCTGGTTCAAGAAAGGATGTCTTATCGCGCCGTTTGGACAATATACGAATGACACCTCGGTAACGCGCCTGACAAAATTACATATAATGAGCAGTAAACACATAACGAGCTGTAGCTAGACTTACAACGGCGACGGCAAAATCTTTGGCCCATGATCGTAAGGACGCATCGTTCGACTGCTCAAGTGCTTCAATCTTGGCCACCACCGCGACAATTGCTGACCCTGAGTCAACGATAACCTTGGCCAGTTCAGACAGAGGATGCATCGTTGATGAGGCTAAGGGAGTTGACGGCAGAGGTATAAGGTCAAAGACGCTCTTCCCCTTCCGGTGATGGCCTGTCTTCCATAATTACGATCCAGCCATATATGCAGTTGTGGGCGTTGTGCGAGTGTACGGGAAACAGATAGACTGCCGGCGGTATGTTAATCAAACCTTAAGAATTCCGACAGACATTGGTAAGCCTGAGGTAAGCTCTTAGCTCAGCCTCCGAAGGCTGGGTCTTCATGGCAAGTGATCCACAAGCCGGTATCCATGCTCTTCCCAACGAAATTCTGTGTCAAATCTTCATATTTGTCGTTACCCGCGCCCCTGGCGAATATTCTGCCAGCGAACTAGACCTCAGCTTCGTCTGCTCTCGGTGGAGGGCGGTAGCTTTATCGCTATGTCAACTTTGGTCGTCGATATGTATACTAGCACATGAGGATCCAGAATCTGAAGGAGTCAGGCATCTCACAGAGCTCTCTTTGGAAAGGTCTGGGAATAGCCCACTGGATTTATTTCTCAACTTACGAAAAGATTCGAGTGTTATGCATATGTTGTATGCTCAAGCTCACCGTTGGCGCCACGTTCATATCATAACAACGGTGTATCATGACCTTGAAGATCGCGGAGTCAAAGAGTTCCCTTTACTGGAGTCGCTCAGCCTTTCGATGAATGATAGTCCCCCATATCCAGTATCTTCAAATAGTCGTATGTGGTCTAATGCCCCTCGCTTGCACACGTTATCTCTTGACATGACGGTATTTGAACTGGAACAGTTCGCGGTACCCTGGCATCAACTCCGCCACTTAACGTTGGAGTACTCAGACTTGGACCAAATGCATAAAGCGTTATGCTTATGCACCAGCGTCGTCACAGCAGGATTTGACTCGTGTACCAACGACTTTTCTTTCCGCGACCCTGTCGCCTACACCTGTCTATTTCTCTCCTCACTCACAATTGTCGCCAGCCACCGTCTTGAAACGCTCGGTCCTGATATCACGCGGTGCATCTATCCATCTCTTTCCATACTTACCCTTATCAGTGGCTCTCAAGAGTTCTCATTCTCCCATGTTATCGTACCAGATCTCACCTCATTGGTCATTCGTTCCGAATGTCACCTCACCTCACTTACTTTACACGGAATATCATATAGCTCCAAACATCTCATGGCGCTCATTCAGGCAACCTCATCTTCTCTTATCAAACTAGATCTCTGTGACGTCGACCATCGTGCGTGGAATTTCCTTCAGTTGCAAAGATGGCTGATTCAAGCACTGATGTGGTTGCCTTCCCCGGGAGTGGCTGAAACGGCTCCAATTGCATCGTATTTGCAGACGCCTGGACACCTACTGCCTCACTTGAAAGAATTTGGAATAAGGTTTCCAGCCTCGAGGAGAGATTTCGCAATTGATCGAGAAAAAATTGGCCTTGTGCTTGGGATGATTGAGTCGCGATGTTCAAGCTCAGCACTAGGCGCTCGAACAGATAGCAGAGCTATGTGTGTTCTTCCAGGAAAAAGGGATACTAGTGTGGGTGAGGTATTAGAACGATTGCATCTAGGAAGGCTATGGTCAACACGCGTTCCCTCGGAGTTCGAGAAACGTCTTCGCGCGCTTGAGGATAATGGGTTGAAGATCACGGCGCTTTAGTCTTCGTAGATTGGGACAGGTTCCGAGAAAGTAAAATATTAAATTGCATACATTCCATCTGCCTCGCTGCTGTACATATGGTAGCTCGCAAGTTTAAGGATTCGAAGCTGTTCGAAGGAGCCTCAGCTTGGACGAAATTCTTTCCAGGACTTTGTCAGCTGTCTTGCTATAGCCACCGTCATGGCGTTAGTGGATGATACCACAATTTAGTTCTATAAATGTCCGTCAAATGGGTATGTTTATTGCCAAGTTGTATGTGCCCCATGGCTGAGTTGGTTACAGCGTCCGACTGTTAGCACATACCGCAATCGGAAGGTCGAGAGTTCGAGCCTCTCTGGGGCAGTGAAAATTCGTTGCGAATATACCTTTTTCTCTCAAATATGTTCTGCCTTCAGCATGGATTCAGCCTCTAATGTCCGATAGAACGATAGAATGCCTGCCTAACACCTTGATAGACGGGAAACATGGGGCGGTCATTGGTTCTTGGAGGACAAAAGCCATTTTGTGGAAAGCCCCGTCCGGCAGTTGTGATTCGCAGAGGTAAAATCTCAATGTTCCTGTCAAAGTTATTCGAAGTGTAAAGTTCAATATCGCAGCGTGCCATAAAAGCTTTTCCCCGCGCTTGCACCTTCAAACCCTTCCCTCTGCACAGTCAAGGTATGTACCTTTGGAGAGATGCAGACATAGACTCAATATTAGCATAATTCGAGAAAAATCCATAGAAACATAGCTGAAAGCTGAAAGTCATATCAAACTACCCCAAAATTGTCAACAGAAAATCCTTCCTCTGGGCCATGCTGTTTCACCTACAATGTCGAGAGCACATACATCAACAGCACCACCGCCACAAAACTACCAAACACCAATTGCGGGATCGTTACTATCCTCGGACCCTCAACGACCTCCAGTTCTCCGCCTACAACAAACGTCCCGGGAGCTCTATTTCTCAACACAGATTGAGAGTCCGCGAGTCTGACTATATGTTTAACAAGCGCCTCGGAATCTTCTCCCCGTCCCACGACAATCCATTCCTTGTAGGCGTAGGATTTCTTGTCCCGCACTGGAGTCGGAGTGTAGAACATACCAACGTGACCTTCTTCCCCTTCGGTGTTCTGGAACAACCTATCGCGGAGAGCTGCACCAGCTTCACCGAGTTCGAGGAAGTCTGAGGAAGCGTAGATGACTGCATTGGGCGAAGGCAAGGCATCTTCTTCGTGTTTGAGAGCGGAAACCGTTGATGTTTCTGCTTTAGGATTGGTTTCAACAGCCGTGAAGAGGGGTTTCTGTTCTTGACCATCGAACGATGACGAGTCTTCTTGGTCTGTAAGAACAACAGGGACCAAGCCTCCATCGTCATTGCGAGAAGTGGAAAGTCTTTTGGATTTCAAATTCGTGATTGTTTTTGTTTTTTGCTTTGGCGGTGTATCGGTAGGAGGCCTGATGACTGGATCACGGTCGTCACCAACAGCGAATTGATCGTCATTCTGACTCTGTGCGGCTTTGTACGATGCTCTGGTTACTCTGAAAGGTGATGAGCGAGGGATTTTAGGGTAGGTAGTATCTAAGGTAAGGATGAGAGTCCATCAATAAAATACCAGAAAGTTTCAAGTTCACGCTCACCTTTCACCTCGCCATTTGAGACAGCCCGAGTCAAGTCATCGTTATCATCCGAGTCATTTTGAGAGCCAGATTCAGAAGGTTCAGTCGAACCTTCGCACTCGCCCCTTCGATGGCCTTCCATCGGTAATCCACAGGTGCGACAGTGAGGCTTTTTCCTCCCGGTGGGCGAAGATGTTGCGGTAGGTGTAGCTGCTGATGACTGCATATTTACTCTCGTAGAGTATGTGAGGAGGGCACACTCTTTCTCTTTCCTAAGGTCCTGACCTTCGTGGGTTGAAATGAAGGAAGAAGTACGGCTTTGGTCTATCCACAATCGTCGAGACTCAAAGTCGAAAAAAGAAGCCGAGTTCGTTCCTATAGAATCCAAAAGACCCTTATATCAAAATTAGCAAGAAGGCAACGCGTTTTTAAGATATCATTGAGAGAACAAGGACGTATCGATACCCGAAAGAACAAGGCTATACAATGCCGCTACATTTACATCACGATCTGTCATCTCACATGACTCTGTGACTGTGTCCTGACAGTGACCAGAGTCGGTACCCAACTTTTTTAAACACTTCAAGTTCCACGGATCCAAGTACGCATGGCTTCATCCAATCTTCCGTTGACTGTGAGAATGCCATTCAACCGTCTATACACTCCTCGGGTTGTGTGATTCAGCCAATGCTGGATTGAAAGTATATATCCCGATACGCTCGCGAATTTCTTACCGATTCGATTGCTGAGCAGCCTTGACAGCTGGGAATGTCATGGGCTCTAATTCCCTATTAAAGGTGCTCTCTTCTCGTTTCGATGGTGTGTGTGTGCTCTTGCTCTCAGCGACATCTACTCTCACATAACTTCACAGCCAAAACAACTTTGAAGCACACCCAATGAATCTTGCCATTCGTCGCAATGTAGGTATCCATCAACTTGATGCACGCACTCGTTTATCTTGGTGTTGTCTATGTAGGAATACGATCCTAGCTTGCTACCTGATTTAACTGGAAAAGTCGCGCTGGTAACTGGTTCAAAGTAAGCCTTTTCGACCCCAGTCATTTCAGCGATACCTCTGATCACTCTGAGCCCTGTATTCACAGCTCGCCGCTCGGTATCGGGTGGAACGTCGCCAACCAGCTTGCTCTTCAAGGGGCTAAAGTCTACGTCCACGCTCGTACTTTGGATAAAGCACAAGCTGGGATCACTACCATCCTCGCCAGCTCCCAAGGCAGAATATCAGTGGAACAATTGAAACCTTTCGTTGTCGAGCTGAGCAACTTGAGGGCAGTCAGAGACGTTGCGGCAGCTTTTGTCGCCAAGGAATCAAGGCTGGATATTCTAGTGAATAACGCTGCAGTGTGAGCGTCCATTCTCCTTGGGTTTGTATTCGTATTCCCAACTGATATTCAACGTGAGTCTTGCCTGTGGCCTTGAGTTGGACGATCATGGTATATCTACGTCTATGACGGTCAAGTGTGCCTTTCTCGTGTTTATGGCGCTTCACAGGTTTCTGACTTCCCCTTCAGCCATTTCGCTCCGTTTGTTCTCACACTGGGATTACTCTCTCTGTTCAAGAAAACCGCTCAGAACCACCCTGGTGTGCGGATCATCACGGTGCGTTGTTAGCTTCCGGCACACGTACTCCTACCCATGCTCGCTTGATCATACACGGTATATGTAGCTCAGTTCTGTTGCACATGTTCTCATTACTCCAGACGTGAAAGTTGACTCTCTTCAATCTTTGAACAACGATTTCGGTGAGAGAGATGGCACAGAGGCTAATTTGAAGCGTTACGGTGAGAAGCTTCGATACTGAGATGAAATATTTTACTAATTGCGTTCTCCGCTTCTCAAAAGGGTACTCCAAGCTCGCCAACATCCTCTTTGCCAAAGAACTTCAGCATAAATTGGATGAGGCCGGAATTCAGGCCATCTCGGTCGCAGTTCATCCAGGAGGTGTAAAAACTGGTAGGCTCACTCGCACCCATACATACGCGCCATCTTGATGATTGACATATTCGTTTCATTCGCGGCCATTCATAGACGGTTCAATAAACTTCGTGGGCCCCGAGAACCTGTCCACGCTCGACGACGCGCAAACTCCACTCCAAGGTGCTCTGGCGCCCTTGTTTGTTGCTGCTGCGGAAGAGGTTTGGGAAGAAAGGAGCAAATGGGCTGCAGCGTACGTAATGCCATACGGCGTTCCTTCCCCTGAAGACGAGTCAGAGGCTGCCAAAGATTCGAAGTTGGCCAAAGAGCTCTGGGAAACGACAGAGGACGTTTTGACCGAGAATGTTGGGATTTCTGTGAAATTTTAGTTCAATATTTTCATAAGCTGGCAGTACGCCATTCATAATATGCTCGAAAAAAATTTTAAACGTAGTGACCTATTCTCAGTCTGTTCTACTACTTGCCACCGACTTGCCAGGATCCAAAGTAAATTTGCCGACGATAAATGTGCTCCGTAAGCTCCGCGACGATCGCTTGGAGACATAAATATTGCCGGCGGCGAAGGTGCCTTTTGCCTTTTGTGAATCTTGTCCGTACTCTGTCTGTACTCTAAAGAAGTCTAAAGAGCAAATGGCTAAGCAAAGCACACCGCTTCAGAAAGGTTCAGCGTGTACAAATTGCAGGTCAGTAAATTCCTTTGTACCATAATAGATCCACTAATGCTCTTCCAGACGACGAAAGATCGTGTGTACTGTGTGCAATAGTACCTGCGCATTGCTCAAGAGCATCCCTGTAGAAATGTGATGGGGAGAGACCAAGATGCGGGCCTTGTTTGAATTCGTCATCAGCTTTCAGCGACTGCGAGTACAACGACAATAATGGTATCACGCACGTTCAAGTTCTTGAGGACCAGATATCTGTACTTGAAGCTCGGCTGAAAGACCTTGAGAGCGGAGGAGCTACACAGGGTATGCGAAAAACGAAGCAGGTGGACTCTATCCTGATGCCAAAGGCTAAGCTCTTGAAAAATGGGAGCAATGGTTGAGATTTCTTGTCTCCTTGTTGTATTCTCGCTCATTAAGCACCGCAGAACCTTTACCAGCATCTGGTTTCGAGGTAGACCTAGTCGCTCCTTCTTGAATGCCAATCGAATAATCGTGCATTGCTGACAGGACTTGCCTCCCATCATTCGACGAATCTTGTAAGTTTCAGCGAGTTCGAATGAAGTAGCACTAAATACGGCCTTACTGCCAGGGTACACAATTTCATTATGAATTGCTGCTGGGTTGGCTTTTTCTTGCATCGGGACCGATTCATTAATACGGTATTGCACTTCAAAGGCGAAGCTCCCACCTTCGCACTCTTGAATACCACCTATGTGTGGGGAAATCATCTTTCGTCTTCCCAGAACTCCCTGGAACAGGAAGCCACACTTGTTTCGCGTGCGCTTCAAAGTTCAGCACATTCCCTTTCCGAATCTCACCCTCAAAAAGTGACCCAGTTCATTCAGGCCGAAGTTCTTCTCGGAAACTATTTTTACCTCGCAGGTAAGACTGTAGAGGGAAAATACCATGTGACGGCTGCTGCATCTCTTGTACTGAGTGCTGGCTTGCACAAACTTCGTAGCTCTGGCGCTGAGCACTTTGGATACCTAGCTCAGCCTTTGGATACACTAGCCCCGCCTAGAGACCCCATAGAAGAAGGAGAGCTTATAAACGCGTTTTGGACCGTACTGACTTTGGACAGTTTCTGGAATACTGTTCATGGCACTCCTTCTAGCATCCCGTATAC